AGGAAGGGGGCTGGGGTTGGAAGGTGGGTTGGGGGGGATGGGTGGAAGGTTGGTGGGATGGGTGAGGGACTAATGAACTTGTGAACGGGACGAGTTGCACTAGTATAGAGATCGGACGTATGGAGGTAAAAGACGGGAAACTCACCATTAAATCTGGAGTGTTCACGTCCACCAGGTCCACCACTTGAAACTTCTTCTGCACTTCCAGAGCTGGGAGCGATGGTCTCTCCAGGAAAGCTTTGACCCGATATTTCACAGATCCGTACTTCCCCTTGAACGTTGAGCCCAAAGGCCTGGAGAGGAAGACAAAGAACATTAAGTCTACTTGTTGCCGAATAGAACAGAAGAGTAACGGCCGACGGAACAATTGCCTCAGTGATGAGGTCTGGACCTGGACTTACCCCTGAGGAAGCTCGAATCCAAACTTGTACTCGTAGTGGTTGCCGGGTCTGAGGATCACAGAGCCATCAGAATCTACAAAGAGACCCAAACAGGAAAAAGTCATTCCATTGAAGCCGCGGAGCGATCACGGAGAAGGTTCTGCAGATATTGGGGCTTTCTAGTCCATGTCTGAGGACGAGTCCTAACTGTACTTGGCAGCTTGACCCGATCCGCTCATCCAGAGTTACCTCAGAGGACCTCAATGTTCTGCCAGTGACTGATCCGGGTCTAGGATCAGGTGTCACTCAGAACTTGGCTGGTGGTGTCAGGTCAGGGACATCCCTGGAGACCCGTTACTTCCACACATGAAGCCATCTCCAGGAAAGCTCCTCGGATCTACCATCACCGTTCCTTCATCACCAAAGGAATCTCCGGGAGGAGCCCGATACTCCACTGACCATCATCCACTCCACCAGCACGCGTGTGAAGGTCCGTTTCTACATACAAGTCACGGAGTAGCTCATAGACGGTCACATTTAAAGGGTCCGGACGTTAAAAACTGAAGAAGCTACTTGAACAAGAAGTCAAACGTCTTCAGCATTACAGGTCCACTTCAATGTCACCGCCATTAGCCATTCCACCAATTGTCCAAGCCACCAAGCAACACAATGTAACCACAAAACCAACAACATGGAAGATTGCCAAGAAGCTTATTGATCGATTATCAGCTAGGAATGACTATCGGAATATAAGAAGCACGCTCTAAGTTAAAGGGACCGTCCTCTATTGACCGTCCACCAATGACCGCATTACCAGTGACCCATTAACCCCGATGATACATAATGAACGACATGTACATACTCATCACTACATACAGCGAACTACATGTCCCAGCATGCCACCATAGTATACAGCAATACACAGGACCACCAGCATCATTTAACCCCTTCCCAGCTGCAATGCTCACCAGTAGGCTGGTCCTCCATGTGTAAGGTGTCCTCCACTCTCATGTACTCCATCTCCTGCTTGCAGTGCTGGGGTCCGGAGGACCAGACCACCTTGGCCACTCCGCAGGCCACCAGCTTGACCTCCGTCACCCGGGTCACCTCGGCCACTTCCACCAGCACCTTGCCGGTCACCTTCTCCCCTCCGCAGTAGACCTTCTCGGGCTCGGTGAAGACCACCTCGAAGGACTTGATTTTCTTGAAGACCACCATGGTGGGATATCCAAGTAAAGTTCAAGGGATCTTCGTTTGAATGGGCGATGCGTTGATTGGCAGCCCCCTGAGTAGCAGGGAGTGTCCGCGTTCTGTTATTGTTACTATTGTGTCGGTGGAGCTTCTCTAGAATCCGCAGAGGACACGCCGTCCGATCAACCGTCTCTCTGCCTTCCGAGCGCTTGTAAACAACATCCGGAAGCTTCCTATATATATGACCTCCGCGCCAGACCCCGCCCCCCGGGGACGCTCCGTCTCTCCACGTGCATCTGGACCTGAACGCCGTGCTCACCTCGTGCACAGAGCGCTGATTGGTCGGCTCGGCTTTGTTCCCAGTACAGTCAGCCAATGGCTGAGCCCAGGCAGCGCGTGTACAGAGCGTGTACTCAGCGGGGAATGCCGAGGAGGGGCGTGGCCAGGAGCTGA